ATATCTGTAAATGTTTATGAAAATTAATAAAATATAATTATAGAAAAAAAAAAGAAAAATTATGGTACATTCACAAAATGGAATATTATGCAGCATGCAGGAGCCATGATTTTGTAGATTATTACCTAACATAGGAGGGACTGCCGAGCATTATGCTAAGTGAACTATCTCAGTCTCATGAAGACAAATACTATGTAAGAATGAATATAAGGATCCAAGGGAGGAGAGGGGAAACTTATTCATAGGATCACACAATTTGATGGGTGGAGGGAGGAGTGGGTAAAGGAAAGGGGAAAGATCCAATGTGAAAACAATGTATATGAACTTTGTAAGTAAACCAGTATAGAATATGAAAACACACACACACACACACACACACACGCGATATTCTTTTCAATCACTGAAATTTACATCTCCTCAGGTATCCAAATTCACACCATCTACAAGTATTTCTCTGACAAGACTCGTATTCTTGATAAAAATTCTCTTTTAGGTCTAAGAGTGGTTGAGAATTTGGAGTTTACTAGGATCCCGTTCTAGAAGGCACAGGAAGCTCAAATGGAAATAGAGTAAATGCATACATAGACTTAGTGGAAAAATAAAGGGGGCGGATGCTATCTCGTCATGACTAATCATGTAGTCACAGGGTTTCACTACCTTTGGTACAAGCTGGCAGGAGATTAGGAAATGTATTGGGTAAGTCCACTGCTAGGGACCTCTCCAAAATGCTTAGGAGCAATCAAGTAATTTTGAAGACTAAGGTTTGCTTGATTCAGGGCATGGTCTTTTAAATTTCCTGCTGTGCTTCCGAGACCTGGACAGTGAATAAAGATGACAGAAGAATTGATGCCTTTGTGTTGTGCTGTTGGAGAAGAGTACTGAATATCCCATGGACTGCAAAAAGAACAAGCAGATATGTCTTAGAAAAATGCAGCCAGAGTGTTCCTTGGATGAAAGATGCTTTGTCTCACCTACTTTGGATATGTTGCTAGCAGAAGTTATTTCTTGGAAAGGGACATCAGGCTTGGAAAGTTGGAGGGTCAGTGAAAGAGAAGAAGGCCTCCTATGAGAAGACTATGAGTGACTGTAGCAATGGACTTACGTATGTTAGAGATGATGAGGTTGGCACAGGATAGGACAGGATTCAGGTCTCTTGTTTAAAGAGTCATTATAAGTTGCACTCAGCTTGACAGCACCTAACAACAACAACAACAACAACAACAAATCGTTTCTTCATTTTGATTACCTTTGGTTATGCACAAACAGCCATCCAAAGGCATGTAAAAATGAGTCATGTTTTATTATTTTCAAAAAGCAGTAAAAATATTTATACAGGACATTATGAAATACCAACGCCATTTTTAAGACACAATACCTGCAGGTTACCAGTGTGGAAATGGGATGTCACCAGATACTGCTTCACAAACAGACAAGCAGGATGTGTCCCTATGATTACTATAATCATCACAACAATAATAATGAAAAAATTCATCCTTTGGCTGGATGACCCTGCATGAGAAGGCCAAACAGGTCATCAACATGTAAACATAAGATCTTCTGACTCTAGGGTAGCAAATACAAAACTAGTTACACCTGGAACAATTTTGAAGTTATCCCACGATAGTGATTCTTACACTCTGCTTCTTTGCTGTGTGTTCCTTCTGTATTTTTTCCCATTCATCATCTTCGGTTTCCTGGTCGAATGTCTCTGGGTATGCTGGTAATTTGTCTTTGGGACATTCCTCGTAGTAACTCCGCACATATTTTCCCACAAACCACCCTTTGTATTCTTCAGGTATTTTGCACTCCAGGCCACTGTAATGGACGTTGTAATGGTGCTTTAACCAGTAGTAGAGGTAGTGGATGTTGTAGTCACATCTCCAGGGGTTATCTCTGAGCCAAAAGAGTTTCAAAAAATACAAGTCTTCTAACACTCCGTAGTCAAAGTTTTGCAAACTGTTGTTTGATAAATCCAACTCTTCTAAATGGGTGAGCCCTGAAAAAGCAGCTAAAAAAAATTATACATTTCTTAAACCAATGAATAATGTATAATGCATAATTACATTAAAGGTAGTCATACAGTATATGTGTCTAAATGCAAAACACTAAAGTATATATTTTATTAAAATAATACTTTTCCTTTGATTAAATTGAATAGACTACAATATTTTATTTAAGAACTCAGTTTTACATTAGTTTTGGGGAACAAAAAAGTATTTAGGGTGCATGTGCATTTTTTTACACTAGCTGGAAAGATGTCACGAGAAAAGGGAAAGGATTAGAAAAATATTTCAAATATAATGCATGTGTGCATAAAAATGAGAAGTGTGTCTGGTGAAGATTTGACAGCTCCCTGGATATCAGTAAATTGAAAATGTCCAGACAACTGCTTTTCTCGGTTTAAGGATAAGGTGGGGGATTACAGTCCTGTAGGATTCAAAACCAAATAATTGTGCCAATGTTTTAAAGACATCTGGATGTGTTTCAGAAAGCTATGATACCTCTCAACTTTGAATCCATATGTACTTAAGTCTGCTGAAGAGCAGATTATTCAAACAAATACTCAAATAAGTAAAGTAAGCGCTCTCCGGGATCAAAGGAATCTAGGTTTAGATTTTTCCTATTACAGATGACGTGGACCAACCATATATTCCAGAATTTATGGGGCTATCTAGATTTCAAATATTTTGTTTCCATAGGGAGTCCTGGGTTATGAGACTTACAGTAGACTCACAGACTACTTACCTTCCATATATTAATGTAGTACAAATTTGCCCTCACTTGAAACAATTGAGCCAAACCATATTCCTAACAATTTCAGCATAATCACCTTGGCTTTCCTGTAAGAGCAGCTTTTAAATAATTGAAAAAGCTGTGAGCCTTTTCTTATATTTACACACCAACCCACTGCTACCACGTTAATTCTGACTCACGGGGACCCAGAAGCACAGAATAGAATGGCCTATTGGGTCTCCATGGTTTCCATAAATCTTTATGGAAGCAGATTGCCTCATTTTTCTCCCATGGAGTATGGGGTGAGTTTAAACTGCCAAGCTTTTGGTTAGCAGCCGCATTTAAAAAAGAGTTTTACTGTAATTTGAATGAAAATTTAGAGTGCAAATTTGCTTTCCACCCGAACATTCATACACAGTTCATTTTGTGACACTGATCACAATAGCTTTAAGATAGTAAAGCTCTCTTCCCACTTTCCCCACCGTGTTTTGCTTCTGGTCATCCCTTCTTGCCTTCTGAGCTTTATCCCTGGGCACATGGACCTCTTTTGATCTTACGTGGTTCATTATTCTTAAGAGTGATGTTACGGTTTGCGTTGTCCTGTCTATTGTTTGACTGAGAGTAAAGCCACAAAGATAACCTCAGTTTCAGGCTCAGAGGGTGACAGGGGGCCATGTTGTTGAGGGTTCCGCCAGTCTATATCAAATTTTCATTCTCTATGTGTGTGTTTTAATGATTTTGAGATTGTTTTTGACACTTTTTTCCTCCTCCAGTGAGGAGCCTCTTTTTTGATCCCTTTCTCAGTGGTCATTAGGGAGTTGGGCATCACTTTGTGTTGGAATTATGGAGGCTGATATTCTTGTGATCCATTGGGCTAGTTATTTGCATGCATCTTTGCTTTTCTTTCATCTTCTTTGCTTCAGTGAAGAAGAGGCCAGTAGTTAACACCTTAGTTGGCTGCTCCAGTTCTTAAGACCCTAGTCACTACTCACCAAAGTAGAGTGTAGAATGTTGTCTTTGTGGATTGTGTTATTCCAGTTGACCTTGATGTCCCCTAAGGCTATAGTCTTGAGGCCCCAGGTCTAGTGGTTCCCTCTCTCAGTGTGTGTGGTTAAGAACTGGGTCCTTAACCACTGGCTCTCCTTTTTCCTTGTGCTTAATTACCGAAATAAGAACAACAGGCCCCTGTTGTGATTTATCTACAAATTTGACTTCAGGACACTCTTGGGAATGGATTCCATCTGTAATTCAAGGACTGGGTTTCTCATTACTATTTCAAAATATCGTTTTCAAAGTCTCCATTGTCCTTACAATTGAGCTTGGAAAGTATATTCTCACATGAATAGCATTAACAGTTCTAGTGGTTTGTTGTTGTTTGTCCCCCCACCCCCAATGAAAACTAATAATTCTTCCTTAAAGAGTATTTGTTGAAAATTTTGATACCAAACAATAACTTGAGAGCTAAGGAGTGGAGGCCAAAGGCCAGCCTGTGTGATGATCATTAAGAAGTTGGTACTTTCTGGTGTGGGTTTTTTTTTCTTTTTCTATCTATTAATACTCTCCAAGTCAACGATCTCACAAATTTTCATTCTTAAAACAAGTCAGCCCTTCAGATTGGAAGCATATGTAAACATTCCTAGATTTTATTTTGAACTTTTAATAGTTGTTACTTAAACCATATGTATTCTGGCATTTGGGAAACCTAGCTGTTTCCTTTTCTTTAAAGGAGGCAAAATCCCTAAGTGGGGTGTCGTCTTTCCATTTCTGCAAAATTTCTAGCATTTTACTCTATTGTTAGTCAAGCCTTTTAAAGACTGGCAGTCCTCACTGCATTGGTGGAACGACAAATATAAATCAGTAAAGTAAGCCCATTTTGGCATTGTTTCGTCTCAAAATATAGAGTATCTTTTGTTTTAAAACTCTTCGAGGTCATTTTTGCCTTATTTAAGTTCTGAGATGTTCTTTTGTTCCGGAAGACAAAGTACTAAGTGTGTGGTAGGTGCGCAGTACGTATTTGCTACTGTGGGAAAAGGAGCCCTGGTAACATAGTCCACAACAAGTTGTGCTTCTGTCCTAAATGCCGTATGTTCTATTCCATCTGAGGAGGAAGATGGACAATCTCCTCCCCTTGCAGTACACAACCGTGGAAATTGGATGGAGGGTTACTGACTTGCAACCTACTCGAAGGCAGTGAGTGGTGGTGGCAGAGTGGGTTTAGTGTTGACCTAATAGCTGAAAGGTGAGGGGTTTGAATCCACGAGCCACTATGAGGGAGAAAGACAAGGTAGTCTGCTCCCGTAAAGGTTTACTGCCTCCGAGGCCCTATCGGGCAGTTCTGATCTGTGCTATAGGGTCACTCTGAGTCAAAATTGACTTGAAAGCAGCAAGAATGTAGGAAATGCTTTTCTGGGACTGAATTATAGCCCAAATAACACAGCGGTTAAGTGCTTCGCTGCTAACCGAAAGACTGGCACTTTGAACCCATGAGCCTCTCCATGGGAGAAAGATGAGGCGTTCTGCTCCTGTCAAGACTTGCAGCCCTGAGGTCGCCACAGAAGTTCCACTCTGTTCTGTAGGGTCATGATGAGTTATGAGCTCACGTTACAACAACAACTAATGGATTTGGAGACTGAACTGAACACAGATTAAAAGCGTAGCACACGTGGCTGAATTTCCAGAGGGTGGCACCCAGGGATGGACTTTATAGGAGAGTCTTTTTTATTGTGAAGTGAAGATTGTTTTTGTCTTCACAGATGAAAGATATTCCCAAATTTAATCTGTCCATCCAGGCTAAGGTAAAATTGCATAATGTTTTCCCTTTGAGAAATCAAGAAAAAAAAATAAAATTTCCTATAGTTTAAAAAGATGATATTCATACTAAAATATAACCTTTGTAGCTCTAGGACTTTCATTCTGCAATTTTAATTTCTAATGTAATATTAACAGTTATTAAATTACCAATAAGAAAAGCAGAAGAAAAAAAAGAAATTTAGGTTTAGGATATTAACTTGGGATTATTAATAGTAAAGATAATTTTTATGGATTTTCTAAGTTGAAATCACATTGAGAAAGCACAAATGCTATGTCTATTACAAATCAGATCGATAATAGAGTAATTCTCAGTTACTTCTAATTTAGTTAGTTTACTTAATTGCCCAAGTTCATCTTTGACAGAAGCTCTGATTGGCAAATGGAGAAGTGATTTAGAAGGTAGTAAAGAGGTCTTGATCTTGACCCAGGCTGAGATAAAGTATACCTGCTTTGAACATCATTTAAAAAAAAAAAACCCTTAATTTATGAGCCTGGCAGCTAGCAGATTTTATCTACTTTCAACAAATTGGAGCTTAATGGATGACAAAGAAAATACAAAATCTGAATCTGCTTCTATACAATTACAACACTGTTAAGAGAATTACTTATCACTGGACACTTATCCTTATTCTCCTCATCTATTTTTAAAAAACATTACTTGGACTACTTGGAATCTGTGAAATGATAGACTTTATAAAACAACATTTTGGCTAATGTTTTTCTGAGTTACAAAAAAATATCTAAATAAAACATCATGTTTTAAATCCATACTTTAAAAATACCCCCTAAGCTGTATTTACTGTAAATGTTATTAAATGTTATTAAAAAACAATCCTAGAACACCTGCCTCTTAAAAGAGCCAGTTCAGTGGGACTTACCTGGATCAATGAATTCAATGCCGTTGCTGCTGAGGTTTAATTTCTTCAGCTCATGAACATCTTCAAACTCTTTAGGTCGGAGCTGGTTGATCTTATTGTGTGATAAGTCAAGTTTTACAATATCTGGTGGGATGTTTTTTGGGACTTTCTTCAACTCTGGAAAAACAAAAATTAGTATCTGTGCTATTATGTTCTCATCTCATCATTTCCTCCATCACTGTTAGAGTTAAATGGTTAAAGAGTCTGCTCTTAAAGGGGAAAAGAGATACTACAGTTCAAGAACACGCTTACTATAAACGAGATGATGATTATTAACTGCCAGTGACTTGGCCTCCCAATTCAAACTACTCTAAAAAACTCTCTTATTGTGTCAAGTCAAAACTCAACTTATAGCAAACCCTTCTGTGGGTTTTTGGAAGGCTATAAACTGTGTGAAAAGATAGTATCCATGTTTTTCCTTGGAGCTGATGGTGGATTCGAACCCCTGGACAAGTGATGTCTTTGAGTTAGCAGCAAAAAATCCAAATGGACTGAATGTCACCAGACTTTCCTAGTTCATGAAACAAAAGAATTACGTTTCTATTAATTTATACTTTGTTGTTGTTTATATGTGCCATCAATTCTAAATATTTTCTAAATTCTGATATTTATGAGGGGGTTTTTTTGGTTGTTATGTATGTGCTGTTGAATCAGCGTTGATTCATAGCTGACCTTCGGTGGGGTTTCAGAGACAGTATATCACATGAGAGGAGATTTCCTAGCTTTCTCCCGAGGAATAGGTGGTGGATTTGAACTGCGCATCTTTGTGTTGGCAATGGAGTTCCTTACCAGTAGGCTGCCAGAGCTCCATGTACCTGGTATATTTCAATCATAAAGATTCTGACTTATTTCTTTCCTCCTTTTAGCAGTTCATATCCATGCTTTTAAATGAGTTTATATTGTTAGTTCCTTAATGACATCTTATTATAAGAAATGGAGTGCCAGTATTATAGTGGTCAAAACACTCAGCTTCTAAACAAAAGGTCATCAGTTTGAGGCTACCGTAGAAGGAAGATGAAGCAGTGTGTGTCAGTAAAGCTTACAGGTTCAGAAATCCTGTTGGCTGTTCTACCACTATCTGCATATAAGGTCACGAGGAGGGAGAGTTTACTTAAGGGTGATGGATTTTTTTTAGTGGATACTATTAAATCTGCTTTTTCTGCTTTAGAGGATCTTGGACTCTTAGTATCTATGTGTGGGAGCTATTCTTAGGGCACAAGTAATTATTAAGTGACAAGAATCCTGTGTAGTTTAGTACTATTATCCTCACTTTACTGATGAGGAAACAGGCACAGATAGGTGAGTCGATTTGTCGTGTCTGCACAGTTGTGATAGGTGAGTCAATTTGTCCGTGTCTGCACAGTTGTGATTTAAATGGAGAGGCTAGCCCCAGAATCCATATTTCTAACTATCATGCTCTGCCATTTCCCACATTAGCCTTCTGCCTTATTTATGCTTTTACATATTTCTAGCATACCCTCTCAGCTTGACATGTGTGGTGAGTGGGAGGGATGAGGGGACACCTTGAGCTCTTCCTCACTTTGTATTTAAAAGATTTAAAAGGACAACTCTCTCTCCAAATGGGTAATAACAGTAACAATAATAATACCATCACCTGTTTTATTTTCCTCCATGGCAGTTATCACTCTCAGACCACACTATATGTTGTTTTATTTTCTGTGCTGCCAACCTGTGACTACCTCCATCTCGCAAACATACACATTATAGGAACCTCAGTAAGAAGGCTTTAGGCATTGTGGAGTAAACAAATGCAAGAGGCAGCTTTTTAAAGTAGTGTTTACGCTCTAGGGTAAACCTCTCTCACAGAAATGAAATTTAGTGACTGACTTCTAATCATCAAATTAAAAAAGAACAACAACCCAAAGCAGCATTGAAGGTATTGGCAAAAAAACAAGCTCCAGGAATTGGGCCAAATAATATTTGTCTGTGCTAAGAAATGTGGATGATAGTTTCCAGGTCAGCCAACTGAAAAAGACTCATATTCGTAACTATCCCAAAAAATAGGGATCCAACAAAATGTGGAAATTATCAAACAATAGAATTAATATTATGTTCAAGTAAAATTTTGTTGAAGATAATTTAAAAATGGTTGGAGTAGTACATTGATAAGATCTACCAGGAAGTAGAGATGAATTCAGAAGAGACTCCGGAACAAAGGACACCATTACTGATGTCAGGTGGATCTTCACTGAAAGCAAAGAATGCTGGGAAAATGTCTACTTGTGTTTTATTGACTGTGCAAATTAATTTGACAGTGTGGACCATAATAAACTACATTTAATGTTACATAAGGCAACATTGAGAAGAACAGGAATCCCAGAACATTTGTGCTCATCACACTGGAACCTATACATGAACCAAGAAATAATTGTTTGGATATCACAAAAGAATACTGTATGGTTTAAAAGAACGAAAGGTGTGTGTTGGGGCTATATCCTCTCACAATATCTATTCAGTGTGCATGTTGAGAAAATTATCAGAGAAGATGGATTAAATGAAGAAGAGTGTTGTATCAGAATTAGAGGAAAGGAGATTTATTAACAACCTGAATTTTGCAGAGGACACAACTTTTCTTGCTACAAGTGAAGACTTGAGGTATGTACTTAAAGAAGACCCAAGACCTTTAGTATGGATTATACCTTAACATAGAGAAAAAAAAATCCTCCCAATGGGACTAACAGGCAACATAAGGAAAATGGAGCAAAGACTGAAGTTATCAAGAATTTAATTTTCCTGGATCCACAGTCAACACCTGTGGAAGCAGTAGTAAAGACATTAAAGAGTGTCTTGCATGGGGCAGACCTGCTGTCAAGGATCTCTTGAAAGGGTTAAGAAAGAAACGTTTTAGTTTAAAGACCTAAAGACCAAGGAGTGTCAGACCCAGTTGCTTCATATGCATGTGAAAGTTAAACAACAAGTAAGGAAAACCAAAGAAGAGCTGATGCCTTTGAATTTTGGTGTTGACAAAGAGCACTGAATATACTTTGCATTGCCAAAAGAACAAACACCTATTTTGGAAGAAGTAAGAAGGGGAGGAAGGATGTACACTGCATTGAAAAAGATGAGGGAGAGAACTGTTTAAAAGGGATATATTATTGGGTATATATTATGGGAATTATTGTCATTACAGAAGTTCAGAGGGAAGGCTGCATAGTGGAGTGGACTTGTGGGGAGGGACTGCATAACAATGAGAGTTTCTCTTTAACTTTTCAAGGAGAAGCTTGAATTGGGGTGGATGGGTAGGGAGAAAAGTGCAACAATGAATGACTGGAAACCCTAAGTCTCTGTAAACTTTCATTAAAATTAATAAAAAAAAACACCCCAAACAAAAAAACAAAAATACAACCAGAATACTCTTCAGAAGCAAGAATGAACTTTGGGTAGGCTATCAGGAGGACCAGTTCTTGGAAAACGATGTCATGCTTGGAAAATAGAGGCTCTATAAAGAAGAGGAAAGCTTTCAGCAAGGTGGATTGCCACATGACTGCCACAGTGGGCTTATACGTACAGGAGAGAATGTGAGGATGGCATAGGATCAGCAAGGCTACCGTCACTGTCTATACAGGATCACTGTAAGTTGGAAGTGGCTCAGTGCTATCTGACAGGAACAATGTTTGAGCCTATTTATTGCACAGCAAGAAGTCCACTAGTTGCTGTTGATTCCAACTCAAGCTGTCCTCATGTATCAATGAGAATATAACCATGCTCCTTAAGGTTTTAAAGATGAATATTTTGGGAGTAGAGCACCAGGACTTTCATACCAGGCACGGCTGGGGAACTCAAATCTCCAACCTTTTGATTAGCAGCTTAGTTTATTAACAATTTATACTACCCAGGTACTCCAACAGACAACTCATCCCTCACTCAACTCAGTGCTGTTGAGTTGGAACTGACTCATAGCTAGGTTTTCAAGCCTCCTCAGAGTGCAGCCTTTGTGTTATCACAGTGACTTCCTACAAAATAAGCTACCAAAACTCCCTAAAAGCAAATGATAAGGAATAAATAGTAAGAGCTCATTAAGTGTTTTTTTTTATTTTAAAATTTAACAATGCAAGACTATTGTTGTGGTATGTCACTTAAGTAAATTCTGACTCATATAGCCCAACATAACAGAGTAGATCTACCTTATAAGTTTTCTTCAGCTGTATAAAAGCAGATGGTAATATCTCTCTCCCATGGAGCTGCTGGGTGCATTTGAACTCCCAACCTTTTGGTGGGTCTGACCCAGTTGCTTCATATGCATGTGAAAGTTAAATAATGAGTAAAGAAAACCAAAGAAGAACTGATGCCTTTCAATTTGGTGTTGACAAAGAGCTACCAGGGCTATTTTTGGAACTGCAGCTCAGAAAAAGGTTTTGAAAATTTGAAGCCTTCTGATTAGATAATAATTTGTTTGAGGTTTTGTCTTCCAAAATATTGAAAAGAGAAAACTTTTCTGATTTACGGACTTATTGTAGTGCCACAATAGACTGTTAATGCAAACAAGAAGAGAGAGGTGTGAGGAGTTGTTTGAAAACCAGAGGCAGTACAAGTCTGAGGACAAACTACAGAAATAATTTTTTTCACATTTAAAGTTTAGAGTGTTTTTTTCACGTATAACATGCCCATGTAAATAATGTACACACACATAGAACATGCATAGTATATAAAGGAAACTAATACACAAGGGAGCTGCATAGTTTGAGGAACAACTGTGTCCATTTAAATAATGCACACATAGAACATGCATAGCATGCGTAGGAGACTAATGTACAAGAAGGTCTGAGGAACCGATGCAGCATGCAAATTATTTGTATAAAAATATAGTAGTTCTTGTGAAAGGCTGTGGTATCTTCCATAGATTTTTTCCATGCAGAATAGAAACATATTTAAAACTATCCAATGTTTTATCCTTTCTCACTACCTCTACTGCTACCACAGTAGTCCAAGACACACTTTTTGAATTTGTAGTAGATTATTACAAATGTTGTCCATGTGATCTTGACAAATATGTCAAATCATGCTGTTCTTCCAAAGCCTCATTCTCCAAACTGCAGAATCCTGCCGTGACTTTCCCTTACTGAGACCCTACCACACCATTGAAGGCTGGAGTCACA